CCACCCCTCTCTGACCTCATTTCTAACCATTCCTTTCCATATTTTTTACAATGGCCTCCTTGATTTCCTTGACTATACCAAGTAAGCGCCTACATCAGAGTCTTGGCATTAGCTCTTTTTTTAGTATTTGGAACGTATGTCCCCAGACAACCCTTTGGCTCACTCTCTTCCTTTGATTCTTTCTTAAATGTCACCTGATAAGCAATACTGTCCTCGAACACATTAAAGAAATGACTGAAACCCCTTACAGAATATATCCATCTGTCTTCTTCACTGTTGTATGCTCAGTACCTAGAAAAGCAACTGGTCCTGAGTTTACCTTCAGTAAATTTTGATCGAATGAATGACTGAAATTGTCATCTTACTGCTTTTATATTTACCTTTTCTTTGAAAATTTTTGATTTGATTCACCAGGTTTTTCTCAACAATGCTCCAATAAAAATGTTTAAATGCAAAGATATTTTAAAACAGGAGAAAAAAAAGAGAAGTAATGGGAGAAAATGTAGAAATTAGAAATGACTTTCATACCTGACAAACTCTGAGGGCTTGGTCCAAGACTGTTTTGGTATCAGTGTCATAATCTGGGCAGGGCAGCATGGCTCGGCTAAGATGCGCCTGCAGGAGGAGGTGTGCTTTGGTGTGAGGGCTGTCAAAGGAATGAGGATTTGATTCAAAGGGAAGACATTTTGCCAGCTCACTATTCATATGATCTTCATTGTGTCTTACGGGCAAATCTGTGTATTCTTCTGCATCCTGAAAAAAAAATCACATAGATATATACATTATGATGGATCAAAAGTATAATAATGTACTTCTTAGCTTTAACACTGACATTGAAAACACAGTTTAGAGAAACCACAGATAACCATATCCCTTAGAATTTTGCTTTGTTCAATACAATTATTAATATAAAAGTAAAAGCTGGTTTAATGTATAATACATATGAACTATATCAGAGTGAGAAAACCTGAACTGCAATTGATGCATTGTGAAAGACTCTGTGTGGACAACTCTGAGAGCTAAAAACTCCAGGGGGAACTAGTAATGGGGATTCCGGTTCCACAAGTAACGAGAAACCAGACTCCCACAGTAAATAGCGGAGAGAAATCCCCTTGGACTTCTTGCAGGGGGAGGGGAAATGAACCAGTCTGAAATATGCCAGAGCAACCAAAAATCAGAACTGAAAAACAAATTTATAATGGCATAAAATATATGCAATACTTAGAGCCAAATCTGATAAAAAAATGTAAAAAACCTGTACACTGAAAAGTAAAAAACACTAAGAAAAACTGAAGACTTAACTAAATGGAGAAATATACCTTAATTCTCCCAAAATTGATCTACATATTTAACACAATCTCAATCAAAAACAGAATTTTTTTCCCTTGGTAAATACTGGCAAGTTGATTTTTTAAAGGATTCTGATCACTAATTCCAGTGTGTGTTTGGGGGGTGGGGTGGTGTGGGGGGGAGGGGATTCCCACATCAATAAGCAAGTCTCAGACACTAGCTGGGTGTCCTATAATTCAACTCAACTCTGACACTATCTACTCAGAGACAGCATCAGATCCCACAGATTTAGTGCTCAGTTCTACAAGATGGCCCCTCCCCCATTTCACCACTTCAGATGCCAGCTGCAAGCCTAGGTTATCACCTGTGTTTCTGACGGACCTGCTATAGATTGGAGGTTCCATTGATCCCTGCCTTGGGTTTTACTAATTTGCTAGTGTAGCTCACAGAGCTCAGAGAAACATTTTACTTAGTAGATTACTGGTTTATTATAAAAGGATATAATTCAGGAACAGACAGATGGAAGAGACACACAGGGCAAGGTGTGGAGAAAGAGCTTGGGGCTTCCACACTCTCTCGGAGCTGGACACTCTCCCTAATCTCCATGGGTTCATCAACCCGACAACTCTCCAAACCCCATCCTTTTGGGTTTTTTTTATGGAGGTTTCATTACATAAGCATGATTGATTAAATTACTGGCCATTAGTGATTAACTCAATCTCCAACCCTTGTGTTCTCCCTCATGCGTTGGAGGGTGAAGTGGGATGGGAAAGTTCCAACATTCTAATCATGTGGTTGGAGTCCTCTTCCTCAGGTGCTTTCCAAAAGTCACCTCATTAACATAAAGACACCTTTACTGACTCCATCACTTAGGAAATTCTAAGGGTTTTAGAAGCTTTGTGCCAGAAACAGATACCAAGACCAAATTTCAAGGCCAAATACATATTTCTTATTATAAATCATAATGGCACAATTCTAAAATTTATATGGAAATGCAAAGGACCTAGAGTTGCGCTGAAAAGGGGATACAAAGTTGAAGAGCTAGCACTACCTGATTTCAGGACTGAATATAAAACTGTACTAATTAAAAAAGTGTATTGAAATGGAGTCCAGAAATAGAACCCATACATATATGGACAACTGATTTTAGACAAAGGTTCAAAGGCAAAGCAACAGAGAAAGAATAGTCTTTTCCAGAAACGGTAGTAGAACAATTGGGTATCCACAGGCAAACCAACCAACCAATCAACCAACCAACCAACCAATAAAAATAACTTTAATCCCTGCCTTCCACTGTATACAAAAATTCACTCCAAATGTATTCTAGACCTAAATATAAAATTATAAAACTTTCAGAGGAAAACATATGAGAACAAAAGCCCTAAAGTGGGATGAGAAAATGGTGAGTCCAAAAGACTGAAAAACATGTAAATCAAATTTCAACTGATTTACTATAGTATACTGAAAAAAATACCTTAAGTGAATATTTGCCTTATTCTGCTTAACTGAGCTGGAAAAAATTTTAAGTTATATCTTTTGTTTTATTTTGTTTTGTAATAGTCAAACATATCACAGTTACTCTACACTATTTTGAACATTGTCTTCACCCTTTTGGACTATTTCATGTAAGAAGTGTATGCTGACACATTAGCAGTTAATAATGTTTTCCCCATGTGTCATCTTGGTTTTCTTTTCATATGTCATTTCAGCTCTTTCCTGTTTTCTCTGAGGTCATCTGCCCAAGAAGAAGGACCAGTTACAATGATAGTGCTATTATTTTTTATTTTGGGTGAATTTCAGGACTGAAACATTGCCACCTCATGACTGACCCATCTCAATCGGACATCTGGGCTCCATCCCAAATCTCCATGAGCAACTGCCCACCTATCCCAGCCTTGCCAAACAGCTTAAGAAAAATGGAACAGCACGTAAGGAAGAAGGTGATTCAGAAATCTAACTCATGGTCTTTTCCTTCACGGAAATCAAAATAATATCAGGGCAAACAATTTATGTAAGTAATTATTTTAGGCGTAGAATAAGATACCATTATTCAGAGAAGAGCACTGAAGTGAGTTGGCTGTGTTGGAAAGTTTCCGCAGAAAGGCAGTGTTTGTCTTAGAACAACTTGTAGGAGAGGAGAGAAGGAGAGAGATTCTCTGCATTTCAGGCATAGAAAATAGATAAGCAGATCCAACAAGTCAGATAAGGAGGGCTCTAAGGTTTAAGCCTCAGGGATGAGGAGAATGATGATGCTATTAATAGCAGAGAAGTTGGGACACTCAGTAAGCAGGAGCTTTCTGTCAAGCATGCAAAATACACTTAAAGAGAGGGCAGTAATCCAGACAGGTGGAGGTGGAGGGAGGAGAAATCAGCTTTAAATCTGTTTCACAGTCTAAACATGTTGTCATATTTAGATTTCTTTCTGCTGGTCATAAAACACAATTTCTGATCTTTTACCAGAAGAGAATCGATTACCTATTTTAATACCGCAAACTGAATTGGTTCTCCAGGTTTTCGAATGTAGGGAGAAGGTTTAGACTTACAAATAATATAAAAAATTCAATTAAAATAAAATAAAATGGAAAGTAAGAATTTGGCTGCAATTACTAATTAATAGTATTATCTAAGTAATCCACTTCTCTCAGTACAATTTTGCTCAAATTTGATATATTGGGTCTTTGGAAAAGTCATGATGTATTTTGTCTTTGTTTTTCAAAGGTCATTTATTTATATAAAAAACAAAGATCAATCAATGATATATTGCCTGTTTTGTTTGATAACCTTTTGACATCTTTCAGTTAGCTTCATAATTCCTCGTTCATAGAAGACCTGTCTTTATTTGTGAAAAACTGAACAAGGTGCTGATTTACAGCCACATCTGAATTGAACATTATACCACGCAAGGAGTTTTAAAGAGAGTGAAACAAGTGGAAGTCTGACGGCATAAGGTCAGGCGAGTATGGTGGGTGTGGCAACACATCCCATCCAAGCTCCAATAATTTTTGACAGGTGATCAAACTTATGTGTGGTCTCACGTTGTCAAGATGGAACACAACTCCTTTACAATTAACAAGCTCTGGACATTTCTGGATGATGGATTCATTCAAGCTGTCCAACTGCCAAAAGTATACATTCGAATTGGTTGTCTGGTGCCTTGGTAGGAGCTCGAAAAACACAACACCTTTAAAATCCAACCACATTGAGAGCATAACCTTCCTCTGATAAATGTCTGCTTTGATGTCGTTTGAGGTGAATCATCATGTCGGGACCAAGACCGTTTGTGCACTACATTGTTGTAAACAATCCACTTCTCATCACCGGTTATCACACATTTCAAAAAAGGATTGTTTCCCTCACGTTTAATGAGCATATTGCAGATGTTTATACACGCCATCAAATGAACTTCTTTGAGTTCATGCGGAACCCAAATATCCAGCTTGCTTATGTATCCCAGCTTTTTCAAATGGTCGTGAACGCTTGAATGAGGGATGTTCAATGTTTCTGCAATCTCTCGTGTTATGTAATGTGGGTTTGACTCGATCAATGCCTTTATTTTGTCGTCATCAACCTCGGTGGGCCTCCCTGACTGAGGAGCATCGTTGAGATCAAAATCACCAGCATGGAATTTTGTGAGCCATTGTTGGCACTGACATTCTTGTAGAGCATTGTCACGGTAAACCTGATGCAACTTTTCACAGGCTTGACATGCATTCTTTTATTTTTTTTTTAAAGGTTTGTATTGGGGAATTGGGGGGAGGGGAACAGACAAGTTGCTGTCCTTTCATTCTTCATTCTACTGTCCTTTCGTTCTTCATTCTAGTTGTGGAGGACGCTGCTTCACTGGCCCAAGTTGGCACCATCATTGCACTCTTCCCGGGCGAGGCAGATCAGTTGCCGGCTTCTGGTCGGCCGCTCACTGCGGCTGCTGGCTACACATGGTAGCTTATGGCAGCCCACTGCAGCAGGGGACTGCAGCCCACACCGTCACCGGCGACCCACGGCAGCCCAGCTCCAGGTCGAGCTGTTGTTCAGCATCTCAGCTGTAGAGGGCAGTGTCACTGGCCCTCATATGTGGGATCTGAACCGGGGCCCTCTGGCGTCCCAAGCCAGTTCTTAACCATCGTGCCACTCGGCCGGCCCTTGACATGTGTTCTTCCCTTTATGGAAGTAAAACAGTAAAATACGGCAAAATTGTACAGTTTGGTCTTCCATCTTCAACTTGTTGTAAAATCTCCAAAACTCAACCAAATGGCTCAACTTTTTTTTTAGAATGAAGCTAGAACTGTCAGCTGTCAAATGACAGCAATAACATAGATGCGAATGGCTCTAGTACTTCCAAAAATGAACTAGTGCCATCTGTTGCAAACATGCGTCATGACTTTTCCAAAGACCCAATAAATTATACATCCCCCTTCCCCACACTGAGGGAGGGAGTGGGGGAGGGAAGGAGGGAGGGAGAGAGG